TTAAAACGAAATAATAGTATTAATTAATATACACTATTACGATTGTTTAGATGAACCGCGTTTAGCTTTTATCGCAGATACAGTAAAAGCTCTTAAAAGATACCCAGGTTGTCTTTTTTGCTGTTATTAGTGTTTTATGAGAAATTGAGACAGAACTACGGTAACTTTTAACAGCTTTCAGTGTGATCGTACTGCCTCCTTCTGGACTGAGGTGTGAGTTGTAGTCACGCGGGATCTGTTTAAAATTTATTGTTATTTATTAATTCGGCTTTTGATAATGAAAATTGTTAGATTAAGTTGAAAAAAAAAAAAAACTAGTAATAATTAACAGAGAGCTTAATTTTATTCAGGGCCAGTTTTTCAACCCCGGGTTTAAGTATTTTATCATTGTGAATATATCTATATATCTTTATATATAAATATATTCGCAATGATAAAATACTTAAACCCGGGGTTGAAAAACTGGCCCTCAGTGGTTTCAGCTACAGCAAGTACTCAGTTGCAGCTCTCAGGGAGAAGTGAAGTTACAAAATATCGGCTCGAAGTCTGTGTTTCCCGACCACTTCTCCCTCTATGTTTCATACCAATATACTTGGCTCTCTTAAGTTGGCGAGGGAAAATCAATTTTTTTAACTTTTTTATTGCCAAATCGTTTGTTCGTCGTTTGTTCGATTAATTTTATTGTTTGTTCGTTGTTCATTATTTTTGCATATAATTATTGTCAAATAGACAAATTTTTTCCCATACAAATGTTCCCCTAGAAAAGATATTCAATAGAAATGTCTAACATGGAGTTCTTTACATAGAGATATTTTCGTGGAGTTTGATATCGTGTACGAGAGAAATACATGTCGCCGACTGTACATATTGAAACCACAAGTCTTAGACTGGGGCCCCTAAAATAATACATACACACTGATATGTTACTGTAAAATTAACCAATCATATAAATGCATTTCAGAAAAATTAGAAAAACGGTTCACCCTAAGTATATGTAAATTTACAAATTTACTATAGTATCTGTCATAAAGTTGCATGCACTACATTTACTGTGAGCGTTGAAGCGCTGGAGTTTTGAAATTAAAATTTAATTAAATGTTTTTTATTTTTCAAATTCATAAATCTTTGATGAAAAAAAAAAAAGACCATTCGGCAGCCGAAATGGAAGTAGATTTCATCATGAATAAAAAAAAAAATATAACGAGGATTGTATACAAAACTAGGGTTTCTAACTTCTATACAATCGACAAAAATATATATCGACGGAAAAATTTTAAAACCAGTGCAATAGCAAATTTCATAATTGGCATAGTGGAATAGGACATAATTTTAAGACTACACATATGATATGGTACTCAAATTGAAGCTTATTTAAAGAGCTTTAAGATGCAATTTACAGAATTTCAATAGGTTATCCCATTCAAAAGATATTCAAGTAAGAAAGTGAAGAAATATGAATTTTTATGATTTTTAAAATTTTGAAATCCTGGTATTTCTAAATTACTTGACCGATTAAGCTCATCTTCGAACTTGACTTTGGTATTTATCTGTAGAATAAGTATGTTGAGTTTGGTAGAGATCCGTTGTAAATTGGAGACGCTATCGTCGTGACAAGCCGCGTTATATACACACGGAAAAAAGTAAACTGTAATAAATAACAGTCGATTTATAATAAGTAATGATCAACTGCTAAAAATTACCATTTCAAACAGTAAAATCGTGATTTTACTATTCACTTTATAATATTTACCATTTAAACGTTACAATTTACTCTTTACATGGAAGAAAATACTATTTCAAACAGTAATATTCGATGCGATGTGAATGTCTAAAATATTAAAGTATAATAATTAAGAATTCAGACTTTAATATTTATCATTTCGTACCTAAAAAATGATGTTATGATATGTAAAAAGTATAAAATAAAGTTAGTAAATTTCTAATACAAGCAACGTCAATATTTACAAAGTAAAATGATCAATTTTAAACGCAACGTTAAAAATCAAACTGTAATTATTGACTTGCTCGGACCGGTAAAATGTATCTTTTAAAATTATAATTTTTACTGTTTGAAATGTTAAATTCTCCCAGAGTGAGACCCCCTTCTCTTTCATCCGAGTTCCCCTTCTCCTCATAATATCGACTATATATTGAAATGGCAATTTTTACTGTTTGAAACTGTAATTTTTAAAGATGAAAGAGTCGTTATTTACTACAGT